AGAAGACTATAAAGAAGAGTTTGGAACATAGCATCCCAAAGCCAAGAATAACTTACCCAGAAAAACTGAGTATAATCCTACTGGGGGAAAAAAATTAACCTTTAATGAAATAGAGGACTTTTTTTTTTTTTTTTGGCTAGGCAATGGGGTTAAGTGACTTGCCCAGGGTCACACAGCTAGGAAGTGTTATGTGTCTGAGGCTGGATTTGAACTCAGCTCCTCCTGAATCCAGGGCCGGTAATCTATCCACTGTGCCACCTAGCTGCCCCCTGAAATAGAGGACTTCTAAGCCTTCCTGATGAAAAGACCAGAGCTGAGTAGAAATACTGAAGTTCAAGCATAAGAGTGAGGAGAGACATAAAAGTAAACACAAAAGAATGGGTATAAAGGACTAAATTATGATACACTGTTTACATTCAAATATGAAGAGATGATACATGGGTCCTATCATCAAGCACCACAGATACAGTCCAATTAGACAAGGCCTGGAATATAGTTCTCTTATGTCTTAATAATATTAAGGAAAAAAACAGAAAGAGAGGGGAAGAGGAATACATGGGGAGAAGGAAAGAGGGCGAGAAAGGAAGGTTAGGGAAAATTATCTCATAATCAAAGTATGCAAGCAGACATCTATACAAACAAGGAAGTGGCTGACACTTGAACCTCACTCTCTAGTCAAAAGAAGGAATACACACACACAAACACACACACACACACACACACACACAGAGTTGGTTACAAAAATGCTTTTCATTCAACAGGAAAATAAGAGGGAAAGAGGAGAAGGAGGGAAGGGGAATTTGAGGGCAGATTCAGAGAAGCATTTGCCCTAAGCAAAACGAACTAAGGATGTACAAAAATATTTATAGCTCTTTGTGAGGTGACAAAGAATGGGAATCTGAGAGGATGTCCACAGATCAGGAAATGGATGAACAAGTTATGATATATAAATGTGATGGATTATTATTGTGTTTTTAACAGTGCAATTGATCAATCGTGATTCCAGAAGACTAATAATGAAACATGCTATCCACTTCCTAATAGAGAAGTGAAGGGCTCAGAATGAAGAATGAGACACAATTTTTTGGAAACAGCCAATGTAGAATTTTATTTTGATTGACCATACATATTAGTAATAGGTTTTGTTTTTCTTGTGTTCTCAACTGGGGGAAGAGTGCAGTGGAAAGATCAGAAGGCATATTTTGGCTGATTAAAACAAGTCTTTTTGAAAAAGCAAATACTTCCTGATTATGATTACTCAGCTGAAATGAGACATCAGAGGGAACATTAAATTAGAATAAACAAACTTTGGGCATAGTAACTACAGACCTCATGGATTATCAAAGCTTAAAACATGTAATATCAGAACTGAAAGGCACTGTAGGACAAAGACTAAAGGCGGGAGTACCTTAGCCACAGAATGTCAGAACAAGAAGGGACTCTAGAACAAAGAATGTCATAGTTTCAAACTACCGTGGATTCTAGAATGTTAGAACCAGAAGCTATCTTAGGGAATACTTAGGGATTCTTAACTTCAGGTCTGTGAACTGATTTTTAAAATATTGTTTATAACTCTTTCAATATAATTTATTTCCCTTGGAATCCTATGTATTTTAATTTACGCATTTAAAAATACTCTAAGAAGGGATTCAAAGGTTTCATCAGACTGACAAAGGGATCCATGACACAAAAATGGTTAAGAACCTCTGAAACAGTCAAACTCCCTTACTTTCTGGAAGAGGCTAGTGAAGAGAAATAAATAGTCACTCTCACAAGATGATATAAAAACATCAGATTTCATTCCTGGGACTTTGCTCAATGTTTTAGGCAAAGTTCTTTAATAAAAAAGGACAAATTAAGGATCTGGGCATCTATTCGGGCATGGATTCAAAAACTGTCACTTTAGTGACCTAGGTTGAATCACTAGCTTCTCTGGGTCTCAGTTTCCTCTATAAAATTACTCAACTGACTTCTTAGTCTTCCAGTTCTAAATCACTGATCCTTTAAGCCCATAAAGCAAAGAGACCTAAGCAACATCAAGAAAATCACAGGATCATAGGATTTTAGAATTAGAGAGAGCCTTAGAGATCATCTGGTTGAACCTCTGCTTTTATAGATGAAGAAATGGGCTCATTCAGAAGGAAAGTAATTTTCCTAAGGACATGGTTAGTAAGAAGCCAAGCAAGATTTTAAACCCAGGTCTTCTGAGTCCAAATCAAGTACTCTTCCACAGTATGCTGAAACCTGACCATAAGGGAGATATCACAATCTTGTCCTACTAGTTGCCAAGATTGCTACAAGGATAAAATGAGATGGGTCATCAAAGTGGTTTGGAAAAGTATCCACTCAGCTCTTTTCTCAGGCTTGGTTCAGGTGTACTCTGCTGCAATGACAACCTTGAGACTTGGTAAGGATGGCTGGACTCAATGGGTTTGGTCACATGGATTACTGGTGCCCTGGGCTGCATTCACCTCACACACAGTGATGCTATGGCCATCAATGAACCCTTACTGACCTCAACTCTGTGGCTGTTATGTTTCAATGTGAATAGTAAGTTCTTGGGCACTGCGCTGCCAAGGGTGAGAATGGAAAGCTGGTGACACTGAGGTGGAGGATGCTAGAGAGGTCATAAGATCTTCTCCACTGCAGAAAAGGTTGGGGATTCTCCTGAAGGATCATCAACCTTGTTGACTTTCTGCTGATGCCTCCAGGTTTGTAAAGGGAATGTACCACAAGAAATATGATACTTCCCTTAAGATTATCAATAACACTTCTTGCGCTACCAACTGCTTGGTTTCCAGCCAAAGTCATCCATGGCAACTAAGGGTTGGAGAAGCACTTGTGACCACACACTACCAGAAGACAGTAGATGGCTCCTTTGGCAAGTGATGGCCTGAAGGGTTTGGTGCTGCTAAGGCTTTGGTGGACAAGGCCATTGCTGAATGAGTTTACTACTTTCATCACATCTGTTGTGGAGCTAGATCTGATGATCAAAGAAATCTGCCAAATACAATGAAATCAAGAAAGGGAAGTAACAAGGACATGAGGGGCGATTGAAGGACATTGTGGGCTACACAGAACGCTAAGATACATCCTGTAATTTTAATAGCAATATCCACTCTTCTGCTTTTAATGCAGTTATATTGCCCTTAATGAATATTCTGTCAAGCTCATTTCCTGGTGTGATAATTAGTATGGTTATAATAATTAAGTAGTACATTTTATGATCTATATGGCCCACAGGGAGTAAGTAGAAAGACCTGGATCTTTATCTCCAGGCAAAAGAGAGAGACCACTAGGGAGACCATATCCAATATCTATTACCTTATACTGGGGATCACATACCCCACCTACAGTCCTTGCCCCAAGGTATCTATGTAGTAAAGGACAGAAGCAGAGAGTCCTATGTTCTGTTTATATTATTAATAAAGTTAACACCCTATTCAGTGGATAAAATTTTTTAAAAAGGAGAAAAGGTAAACATCCCCCTATACAAATCCGATGTACCATTAAAAGGAAAACTAATGTTTAAAAAAATGCTTAAACAAAAGCTCTTCCACTAAAAAAAGATTGTAAATTTCCCATGAAAATTGCAGTTCTTGAGTTCTTCAAAGTCTCTTTTGAGCTTCAAAGTCTCAGAAAATGATCAGAATCCTGAACTAGAATTAGAGGAAGGGCAAAGGGTTAAAATTCAGTCATCTGGTCTCCTCTTCCACCAAGAGGAACACATCAATACATTAATGGTGAAACAGAAAACTGCTAGAATCTTGTTGGACACAAATGTATGGTGTTATGAAAAAGAGCTTGGGCTTCAGAGTCACAGGGGCTGCACCGGAGTCCGAGCGTGGCTGTCAGGGTCTCTGTGAAGCCTGCTTAACTGTTCTGGGCTCGACTTTACTCACTGATAAAAAACAAATACAAACAAAACCAGGGTTCTACCTGGATGACTTCTTAGTAGAAGCCCTTCTAGCTCCAGATTTTATGATCTATCCTCCTCTAAGTCATTAGTATAATTACACCCTTTGACCAATGATCCTATCATTGGAAATACTTTGTTTTGGGGCTCTAGACCTGTGATTTCCTCACTACAGGGAGCTCCCAATGAGGAAATTCCCTCTACCAAAGCAGATCTACAACAACCATGGAACTTCAGAGTCTGACAAAGGTGTTTGGGACAATGAGAGGTTAAGCCCCAAGGGTTATGGAATGTGTCAGAGATGGGAATCAAACTCTGGTCCACCAAGGCTAATTTTCTACCTTCTAACCCACAGTTCCTCTCACTATTTGGCATGTATTCCAAGAGTATCACTATGGAAAAACAGCTCTGTTAAACATATTTATATGTAGATCTAAGTTAGTATAACAGCATTATTTCTAACTGTAAGGAACAGGAACCAAACTAAATGTTCACTAATTAATAAACAGATTGATTGCAAATCAATGAAACTGAATATTACAGAGATAGAGACTGGCCCTGTAATTTCACTAGTATAAGAAACTTCTCGATGAGGAAACTGCCTCTTAGCAATGAAGGCTGGCATCTTCTCAGCAGACCAAAATCTCAAGAGTTTTCAGTGAGGGGTTAAGCGACGGGCCCGGGGTCACAAAATCAGGATATGTCAGAGGTAGGTCTTGGACCCAGGTCTTCCTGGCATGGAGGATGGACCTTTATCCATTAACCATGCTACCCTTCAATGGAATGACAACAAAAATTATAACGAGAAATATAAAAAGAGCTGGAAATACATGGATGATACAGAAGCAATATCAGAACACTGAAGACATGTCTAAATAATAAAAAACTACACACAAATGTAAGAATGAATGAAGAGAAAATGGAAGGCAAAAGAGAGTAGCTAAAAAGCTATTACAGACCTATTACATAGTATGCAGAAAATATTTTACAGACAAATATTTGAAAGTGCATAGATATTTGGTTTCTTAATTTACAATGAAATGCAAAGGGAGGGAAAGCTAAACGACGTCTCTGGTTCCATTACCCTCTCCTGAACCTCCAGATCAGCACTCTGCACAAACTGAGGAAGTCGGTCAATCATCAGCTGGGTGATCTCCTGGGCTGCTTCCTTTTCCTCACTCTGTTCCTTCTGCTGCAGAATGGATGCATATAACTTCACCATATTCTGCACATACACTGCTTGGATGTGACCTGGTAAAGTGGTGACTTTAGGTCTCAGCATGGCTTCTAGAGTCTGATGAGGCTCCTGAAGGTGTCTGAAATGACGGAAAAAGAAAAGGTCTGTGATTAAAATTCTACTGTTGAAGAGATTTGGTTTTCTTCATCTATGATACTTTAATTGCATAGGTGTGGGCACTTCAATGACTCATACTTGTATGAATAAAGGTCCTCCTTTCACCAAGACAATCTTTATTAGTTGCTATAGGTGAAAAGAAAAATCGCATAGTGGTCTCCATGTCACGATGAGTCTCTCCATACTCAGCGAGGCTGGTCTTTGAATGACAAAATTTGTGAATGAGACCCTAACCAAAGTCTCTCCTGGTTGGTAGGACCAGCCAGAATTTGTGCTTCATGAGGCACTGGCTTCCAGAAATGAGTCATCTTCCCATCACAAGGAGTCAATCAATCAACAAGTATTTCTACTACGTGTCAGGTACTGTGCTAAGTCCTGAGGTTACAAGTACAAAGAATAAAACAATCCCTACTCAAAAGGAGTTTACATTCTAAAGGGGGTAAATAAAAATTAAAACAAGTTTGGGAGAGAGGGAACTAGCAGTTGGGGGAATGAGGAAAAGCTTCACGCATAAAATGGTACCTGAGCTGCATCTTAAAGGAAGAGACTATGAGGAGGGAGAAAGGTCAGGGTTCAAAGACATGGGGACAGGAGATCAAGTATTACGTGTGAAGAACAGAGAGAAGGTCAGTTTGGCTGGACTTCAGTGGGGGAGGAGTAAAGTCCAATGAGGTTAGAAAGACAGGTTAACACCAGGTTGTGCAGAGCTTTAAAAGCTAAACAGAGGAGCTTATATTTGATGCTAGAAGCAACAGGAAGCCACTGGAGTTGATTGAGTAGAGGAGTCACATGATCAGATCTGCATTTAAGGAAAATTACTTTGGCAGCAATGAGTGGGAGGGACTAGAGTGGGTAGAGACTTGAGGCAGAGAAGAATTTAGAAAGCTGGTACAATAATCTGAGTGAGAAGTGATTGGGGAGGGAGAAGGAGAGACAGAACTAAAATGGTACCTACGTAAGGGAAGAGAAGAGGTCAGATGCAAGATACTACGGGGAAGGTAGTAAAAGTAAGATCTGGCAACTGAGGAACTGCAGAGTGAAGAAGAAGGAGGAGCACAGGATAACATGGCAATTACAAACCTAAAACACTGGAAAGACGGTGGTTCCTTCACAGAAATAGGGAAATTTGGAAGAAAGAAAGATTTAGAGGGCAAGATAATGAATTTGGTTTTAGACAAGTTGAATTTATGATGTCTATGGGACATAGAGCTTAAATCTCCAGTAGGCATTTGGTTATGTGGGACTCAAGTGTATGGGACGAGCCAGGGTTAGAGCCACAGATCTGGAGTCCTCTAAACAGAGACAAACTCCTGGAAGCTGCTAAGTTGCCAAGAGAGGTTACAGAGGGAGGGGCACTAGCAACAGAAGTGAGAAGAAGGGATCATATGGCCCTTTAAGATAAGGTGCCAATTCAGAACTGTGTACTTGGACTGAGGAAGAAAACTTGCCAAAAGTTGTAAGCAAAGCTGTGATTAGAAACCAGAAGTGAATACTTCCCCTTATAACACAACTTCCTTTTTAAGTAACTGACTTACTCAGAGAATTCTCCACAGATCCAAGCTGCAGCATAAAGCACCTCACAGATTCCATTCCTTTGGGTGTTACTGGCTATCAAGTGAGCATTATCCAAAAGCATGGCCATTTGGGAAACAGCAAATTTTCGAATGGCTTTGACTCGGATGGCGACATCCAGCATCTGGGCAGCAATGAGGTGACCGTGCCGAGTTCCTTCCAAGCGGGTAAGCTCTACCAGAATGCTTATGTACCTATGGAGGCAGAGGGGACCACCGAGTCTAAGTTCTCCAACAAGACAGAGAGGTTTTTGAAAAGTCCAAATAAGAAAAATCAGGAAACTGACCATTCAAAGTTGGTGATGTATTGGTAGTTGGCCTGACTACATATGTCAATGATTTTGGTCAGCAGCTCATCCCTGTAAGTTGTTCCTTCTGCTTTGTCCACATGAATCATCAGTTTCTTCACAATCTCCATTAAGTTCTTCTTTGATACCTGTGGAAAGAGAATGCATCAACTACCAGGATTTCCAATAAGAACCTCCTCAGTATCTGGATACCCTGAGAGCCCTGGCTGAATTCCTGTTTAAATTGTCTTTAACGACCACTCGGGTATAAGGAAGATTTACCATGTGAAGCCAGCTTTCATAATGTGTTGTGCTTTACCAGAATGATTATGTTTAATGAGAAAAAGATACTTATGACAGAAAAATCTTTGAATTATGGGTTTTACAAATCTTATTTTTATCAGTACCCTTTGTTTTTATATCACATTTATTTCTGAATCTCTTCTCCTTCTCCTACACAGTAAGCTGTCTCTTTTAATAAAGATTTTTTTAAAAAAGGAAAAAAAATCAGTTTTGCACAATTAACCAACACAGCAACTGTATGAAAATAAATGCAATATTTTCCTATTATTTTTCAGCATTTTGAAGACAGGCTAGTAAGGATAAAGTAATGTATTTTGTATGATATGCTATATTAAAAAATTTCTCTGGGTAATGAAATATGCCTTAAAGTGATACAACTCTTCAGAGGCTTACCTGACGTTTCGGGAAAATTCTCGATTTTTAGAGTTATCATTCTTTCTTTAAATAACTTGAAAATATTAAACTCACACAACAAAAGCAGAGAATATATGGAACACAGGAAATGTGTGACAGGAAAAATCTGGCACACATTAGATCCACACATTAACAGGTAATTTGGTAGTTATAAAATATTATAGGTTAACGCATTCAAGAAAATGAATGAAAAAGATCTACCTACCATTCCATAAAGAAGGTCTAATGCTCTAAGCCGAATAGATTCATCCTTGTCATCCAAACACTGGAGAATGAGATCCTTATGGGACTGAACAGACTTAGGATGAGTTTTCAGGATTTTGGACATAGCAAGCAATCCCAAATACTTTACTAGTGAAAAAAAGCACAAAATAATTTCTGTTATTTGTATGCACAATTGTAGTAAGCACTATAAAGAGGGAATAAAATGTAGTCTCTAACTTTTAGAATCTCCTAAGCTAAAACAGACAATTTTGTGCACGATTATAATCAAATTACATATTATGAGAACAGTAACCTACCCAACAAACATTTAGGAGCTTTCAATGTGCAAAGTACTACCATGGAGATGAACATAAAGATAAAATGAAAAACAACCAACCAGCTAATGACTAACCTTACCAAGAATGGATGTCTAATACTCAATGTAAACTGAAGCAAGAGGCACTGTGCTCATCTCCGGGGAGTAGATAAGACATTGTGTCCTCAAGGAGCTTACCATTTAGTATCGCAGAGAAGTACAAACTCAAACACTACCTTGCTCTACATTAAAGTCCTACTCAAATACTTCACTACGGCAGAGGTGACCCTGAATTCTTGAAGTCCATGTTGGTGCCGTACAAAGTCTAGAAAGTTCTACCATTTTGAAGAGGCTCTGAATATTATCCGAAACAGACTGTGAATGCTGCCCAAGGCCCATACTAGTCAAATATGGGGAGATTCATCACTCCTAAGCAGGCCGCTAGGTGGTGAATTCAATGAACCTGACACTCATCACCTCACCCTCCCAAGTATAAAATAGCTCTCAATCCTGTGTAACTTCCCTTAGTTTCTGCAATGACTGTGTCTGGCTGGCAGAAAAAGAGCCAGAAGTTTTAGATCACCTATAAATCATTGATATTCTAAATGTCATTTCAATGACTGAGTCAAATTAAGCCTCAAAGAATTAAATAAAATCAATATTAATATTCTTGTTATAAATGAAACCATAAGATATAACAAACTTTTAGCTAAATGGAAGTACTGTTCAACAATTCTCCTAGGAAAGGCAAACAAAAGAGCTGAGAGTTGGTGTTATAATATCATCAGCCTCTTTTGACCCTATTCACATGATGCTGAAAAAAGCTGGAGAAAATCACAAAACCATGCTCACAGAGTCCAAGCAAATTTATGTTATATTATCTCAACTGGGCCCTCACTGTGGCAAGGCAATCCTTTTCCCACTAACTGCAGTCGCTCTTCCAAACCTTTTCATCCTTCCTCAAACTTCCCATGGCTCCCCCCTACTCTACCCTCTTAGCTGAGAATTTTGCCCCCTATTTCAGTGAAAAATTGAGACCATTTGCTTGAGAAGTTCTTCATCTCACCTCACTCAGACACTTTCCACCACTATTTCGGCCCTGTCTCACACAAAGTGGTGATCCTTTCCCAACCAAGGTAAGGCCCTCCATATGCATACATGACTCCATTCTACTCTGTCTTCTCCATCAGACTGCCCCTTCGAGCAACTGAACTCCCTCACTAATCTTCAACTGCTTCCTATCTATTAGCTGGGGGGTCTAGAAAGTTCCAGGGGCTAGGGGTGTCAAGAAGAGTGAGAAGGAAAATAGGGGAGGAAAAAAGGCTGAAAGTACCAAAGATTTTAGGAAGAAGAAATCTCAAAGACTCTGAATATAAACAGATAAACCAACAGGAAAAACAGTAACAACAAATAGAAATATGTCCTCTAGATCTGATAAACCAGTTCAAGAACCTATGAACAAATACTGCAAAATAAAAGAAAATGATTCAACACTAAATGAGAGGACCCTGTGGAATTTGAGAGCATGGAACTACACAACATGTTGTTCCTGAGTTATCTGAAAGAGAAAGAGAAATATGAGAGCAGAATTTATGTCCTACACATCAAAAATAATGAGTAGAACAAAAAAACTGGAATCTGTAATGGCAAACCTCAACAGAAAAAACAGAGAGAGAGAGAAAACACTAGATTGAGAATCAAATACACAAAAGTGAAGAACAAACAAGAAGAGAAGCCAAAAACAAATAACAATAAAAGAAAATATGCTTATAATACCAACAAAACATACTGATCTTGAAGACAGGATGCTTAGAGACATCGAGAGCCATCTTAGAGACCTAAGATCTTAGGTCTCCTAGAAGAACAAGAGAGCACAAAAAAACCTTAACAATATAATGAAGGAAATAATAAAAGAAAACTACCTAGAACTTCTGAACATAGGAAACGAAATTCCAATAGAAAGAATCCACAAATCATCTCTCCCCCAAAAAAACTCCGAAGGCTGAAAATTTAGTCAATCAATATCAATGATCATTTATTAAGTGCACTGTGCTAAGTGCTGGGGATGAAAAAAAGGGGACAAAAGATAGTCCCTTCCCTCAAGAAGCTTACAATCTAATTGCAGAGACAAATATATATCTATCTATATATCTATATCTATATAGATATATATATAGATATATAGCAAGCTATATACAGAATTAATAGTAAATAATTAACTGAGAGAAGGCACTAGAATTAAGAGGGGTTGGGAAAGACTTACTGATAAAGATGGGATTTTAGTTGGGACTTAAAGAAAGCCAAAGAAGTCAGTAGGCAGAGTGTTCTAGGCATGGGGAACAGCCAGAGAAAATACCTGGAGCCAATAGAAGGACTGTCTTATTCATGGAAGAGCCAAGAGGCCAGTGTCATTGGATAGAAGATTACATGTAAGGGAGTAAGGTGTAAGAATGCTAGCGAGGTAAGAGTAAACTAATGAAGGGCACAGCCTTCAAGCAGACCATTTTGTATTTGATCCTGGAGGCAATTGGGAGCCATGGGAGTTTATTTAGTGAGGCCATTTGCCATGAGCTCCCTCTTTCTCATCTTCTGTCAATCAGATGGTTTCTGTCACTAGCTACTCCTTCACCCCTGTTCCAAATGATAAAGATGAACCTCTTACCTAGGCTAACTCCTCTAACTGTTCAAGCAGTCCATTCCATCCCCTCTTTTCCAACAGATTGCCCCCACCATCATTTTTTTTTCCAGTCTCTCCTGGTCCGTTAGCTCATTCTTTACAAACATGTCCACATCTCCCCTATCTTGACAAAAGTCTCACTTGATCCTTTTCTTCCTACTATTGTCCTATATCTCTTTTGCCCTTTTGTGGCTACATTCCTTGAAAAGCCTATCTACAATAGATGTCTCCATTTTTTCTCCTCTTACTCTCTCCTTAACCCCTTATAATCTGGCTTTCTAACCTTATCATTCCACCAAAACTGCCCTCTCCAAAGTTACCCGTGGTCTCTTGGTTGCCAAAGTCAGTGGTCTTTTGTCAATCTTCAGCTTTTCTGCAGCCCTTGATACTGTCAATCACTCTTTTCTCCTTAAGACTCTCTTCTCTCTAGGTTTTTAGGATACTACTCTCTGGGTTCTCCTCCTACCTATCTGTATACTCTTCCCTCCCCTCCCCCCCCCGAGGCAACTGGGGTTAAGTGACTTGCCCAGGGTCACACAGCTAGTGAGGATCACATGTCTGAGGCCAGATTTGAACTCAGGTCCTCCTGACTCCAGGGCTGGTGCTCTATCCGCTGCGCCACCTAGCTGCCCCTCCTCCTACCCATCTGACCATTCATCTTTTGTCTCCTTTGCTGGATCCTTATCCAGATCACATTCTCTAGCTATAGGTATCCCTCAGGATTCTGTGCCGGGCCTTTTTCTCTTCTTACTCTATACTACCTGACTTGGTGATCTCATCAGCTCCCACGAATTTAAATTAAATTTAAATTACCATTTCTATGCTGATGATTCTCAAATCTACTTGTCCTCTCTGCTGACCTCCAATATCACATGTCTAACTGCCTTTCAGACATCTCAAACTGGATGTCCGGTAGACATCTTAAACTGAACATGTCCAAACCAAACTCATTATCTTTCCTCCTAAACCAGAGATGGAGAACCTATGGCCTCAAGGCCACATGTGCCCCTCTAGGTCCTCAAGTGCAGCTTTTTAACTGAATCCAAACTTCACAGAGTCCCCTTAATATAAGGATTTGATCTGTAAAACTTGGACTCAGTCAAAACCTATGGCCTCAAGGCTGCAAGTTTCCCACCCCTGGTAAATCCTCCCCCACACCTACCTTCCCTATTACTGGAGAGTCTCTCATGCTGGCAACCCAGAAGCTGCTTCACTGGATTCCTCATTATCTTTCACCAACCCCTTCCCCCTATCTAAGCTGTCGCCAAGGCCTATAGATTTTACATCTGCAACATCTCAAATACACTTCCTTCTCTCTTCTTAACATTGCCATCAGTCCAGTATAGGCCCTCATCACCTCATGCCTGGATTACTGCAATAGCTTACTGGTGGGTCTGCTAGTGTCTGGTCTCTCCCCATTCCAGCTCATTCTCTGTTCCAGTCCCCAAAGTGATTTTTTCTAAAGCACAGGTCTGATTGTGTCAGACACACACCTCCACCCCACCAAAATATGAGGCAAGGACCTCAGCTGAGATAGTGGTAGAAGGAAGGAGCTATATGAGGTTTGAGGAAGGCTCAAAAGGTTTGGAAGAACTCTGGTGGGGAGTGGGATAGTGAGCTGATTAAGTCCACCTTCATCTTAGTGGCTTCTGTCTGAGTCTAGTCCCCAATTTATCCTGGATATATCTTGTTTGCACATAAGTTGTTCGTATATTGTATCTCTGATTGGACTTTGAGAACTCTTTGATTTTGATTGTTTAAAAAAATTTTTTTGATTGCTCTTTGAGAGCAGAGACTAAGTTTTTGCCTTTTGTTGTATCCCCAGTGCTTAGTATAGTGCCTAGCACATAGGAGGCACCTAATAAATTCGAGCTGACTGACTGAAACCAGAATTTAAATATGCTAATATTAAAAAACAAGAAATGAATAAAGAAACAGACACTGGCACAGTCTATAACTATTTCCTATAAAGTTTAACCAAGGTAATGCAAATACCACAACAAGGAGACTGAAAGAGCATAAAACTGCCTCACCTGATTGGCATTTGATCTCCCTGCCAAGTGAAGGGCAATATGGCAACCAAGGTCAACAAGGAAAACAAGCTTGTGGAAAGCTTGGCAAAGACGCAAGTAAGCCAAATTATCAGAAAAAAAGATTTCAGGATAAAAATGGAAGGAGAAAAAGAGATGAACAAAAAAATGGGGAAAGATCTGTTAAATTTGGCTTTCGTATAAGTTTTTGCCAAAAATTCCACTGAAGCCACACCATTTGAACTTTAACATCATAGTTCCCAAAGTATTGCAAGAATTAGAAATGGTACTTTTAGGAGCAGCTAGGTGGCGCAGTGGATACAGCACCGGCCCTGAAGTTAGGAGGACCTGAGTTCAAATCCGGTCTCAGACTTACTAGCTGTGTGACCTTGGGCAAATCACTTAACCCTGATTGCTTCACTAAAATTAAAAAAAAAATGGTATTTTTAAAATGGGAAGAGCAAAGATGTTGACAACTCTGGCCTTGGAGTCAGGAGGATATGAGTTCAAATCCAGCCTCAGACACTTAACACTTACTGTGTGACCCTAGGCAAGTCACTTAACCCTGACTGCTTCACCTAAAAAAAGCAAAAAAAAAAAAAAAAAAAAAAGATATCTGAACTGGAAAAAAAATCACTGAAAAAAAGATACTACTGGAAAAAAAAACTATAGAGGAAATTAGTCACTGCTTTCCTCTCTCTTATAAAATCCTTATGCAAAATACTAAAATACATAGGATATCTTTGATAAAAACATGAGGGAAAAGGCTTTCTCAAACAACAGTTCACATTGTTATAAGACATATAGCTGACTTAAAGTTGTAGAGATCCCACTATGCTAACACTTTATTGGCCACCTTAAGGCCAATGGAAAGATGTTTGGTGGGAATAAAAAAGTTATATCATAACACCAACAATGAATGGAATACAAAAAGTGACATATTCAAGACATCAACAAAGATGTATAATTGCAAAAGGAAGCAGACTGGTCATGCAGAGAGCACAAAGGCTAACCAAATGCTGAAAAAATAACCATATCATGTGAAGAGTCCTAGAGGAATACTCTCCCATCCTGCTGGCTCACTGGGTAGATTCCTTGCAAAGGATTTATTGGAAATCATGAACAGAATTCTCACAGATCAGATGGCTCAGACTAATGGCAAACTACCATTCAAAAGAGTGCAGACATCAATGAGGCCACAGATCCATGAAAGTACTTTGAAATAGATGTGTAAAAGCGAGGTACCAACAAAATGCTAAGTTCAAAGGAGGATGTCAAAGTATTCACACTTCAAGGCAGTAAGTGGAAGGTAGATTTATTTTTGCTTTATACTGATTGTAAGACTGGTACACTCAAATTTGGAAAGATAATCTTAAATAGAACAGAAATGAAATCCATAAAATTATCAACAGCAAACAAACGTAATCACCCAATACTATTCTGCAGGACATGGGATACTCTGAACCTGAACCCTGAACATAGGACATCTTCTGAACCCTGAGCAGGTAAGTTGAGAATAAAAAGAACATCATCAATAACAAGTACAATATTTGTGAAACTCATCATTCCAAGAGGTGGTCCTGACAGGAAATAAAAATGACAGCAGAAAGGATCTGTATAACTTCATGGATAATAGGACCCTTACTGGCTCAGAGAAGCTGGATACATTTAACCTTTAAGGTTGATATCTGGGAAGAATACTGATGTGTCATATGGTCCTGGTTCAGAAAAAAAACATGGGTTGCATAAACCAAGCTGCTGACCCCAATTCTATGATCTTACAGTTATCAGTGGCCCAGGTGGTATAAATTTGCTTAGAGGAAGCTTTTTCCAGGGATTATACAAGGGATAAATTTAAAATAGTAAAATGGTATTTGAAGAATGAAACCATAGGAGAGTTACATCATAGAGAATCACCCTGACTCATTCACTTTGAAGGTTAAGATTTCTGGAAATTCTGTAGGAAAATAGAGGAGATGAAGTCTTCGAGAACCTTTAAACTTAAGAATCGTTTCATCTGTATGTTTCAGAAATCTGGAAAACCTTTCCTGACTACACCCAACTGATTTTCCTACCTCCAAAGTACTATGGTAATTATTCAATCTAACAGGCAGTTACTCCCATTATCTTGTGATATTTCTATTGTCTTAACCTGCTATTTTAACTAGGCACTTATTAACTTTATACATATTTATGCCTTTTCTCTCCAACTAGGGACCATGTCTTGCAGATCATACTCTACCTAACACCTGACAAAGATGTTATTGTTGTTTAGTCGTTTTCAGTCCTGTCTGACTCTTTGCAATGCCTTTTGGGGCTTTCTTGGCAAAGATACTGGAGTAGTTTGCCATTTCCTTCTCTAGCTCATTTTACAGATGAGGAAACTGAGGCAAACTGAAGTGACTTGCCTAGCAAGGTCACACAGGTAGTGAGTGTCTGAGGCCAAATGTGAACTCAGATCTTCCTGACTCCAGGCCCAGCACTCTTTCTACTGCACCACTTAGCTGCCCCATGTGGCAGACTATCTTGCATATATTAGATACTTAACAAACTTTTTTTCTATTTGACCATCAATTCTTTGCAGTAATAATGTCATGGGGGGAAAAGATAAGGGCATAAGGGAGGAAAAGAATCCTTGTTACTAAATGGTGATAATTTATTCAGAAAGATTTAGCTTAAATTTATTATATCTGGTTTCCAAAAGTCCTTAATATTAAGTCTATGCATTGACTGCTATCAAAGAGATGTACCTCCTTAGCAAAGAGATTATTTTTAAAAGAAAAAATATATGCGTGCAAATGTGGGTAAAAGATATTTTATGCTGCTTAGAAAAATAACGAGGAATGCCATCTGCTGTTCCTCCTAATTTATTAAAACTGTGTTTCCAGTAATTATTTTTATGATTTTTCCATATTCATTAAGGTTCAGAACAAAAGCATGTTTCTACAAGGCATAAATATTATTCTATGTTGGATATCATTTTGAAATTTCTTCATCATCTTCTGTCCAAATAGATCTTCCTTTAGATTTCCTTTCAGAGCTACTATTCAACAAATGAATTGGATCCACCCTCAAATTTCAGCAAGAGATGTCATTCCTTCAATAAAATGGGCCACGAATTATCTTAAAAAGCCACCTGTTACCTGATTCTGGAAAGTGTCTCAAACTGGTCACCCAAAAGTTATATATAAAGAAAACAATGTGGTAAAAATAAAGGAATAGCACCAAGAAGGGAGGATTAGAGAGGAAGAAGTGTAATAACTTACAATTTTGGTCTGAATCTTCTATTAATATTCTTAATTTCTGAACACAAAGCTGAAAAGAAAAGTTAAAGTCACTCATTATAGCTTCTAAAATTAGAGGGCTGTAATTTTTAGCGAGACAGTAGTCAACCCACAAGTCCTACAAGGGTGACTGCCCACTTCTCAGCACTCCATCCTCCCTAGCATTTCTTTCCTCTCCATCGCAGATAATTTAAAGAAAGCTTGCCCCCCTCTAGTCATTTCTATGCCCACCCCCACCCCCCAACAACAGAGATAAGCACTAGGGAAAAAAGGGTTCCTACAGAGACAGGCAAACATGCAATTCCTAGGGTAGCTGACTGCAATAAATAACAGCCAAAGAGCTCTTAGGGCCAACTCAAATCTTCTCTACTGTCGACTGTTAATTTTAACTTCAGCTAATTTTGTCCACTCCACTGTGGCTCACCAACCAGAAAACAATGAGCCAACTGATAACAGGTTATCTCTTTCTATGGATAATCTACTACTCTGTATCCATCCAATTTCTTTCATTACAACCCAGATGCAAAGAAGGAAATGACCATACCTGGATGCTGGCACTATGATTGGGCATTCCGGAAGACAGAGAAATCAAAACTGAAACAAACAGCACTAGTTAAATTTTCAGCTCGGACAAACCAAGAACCAAATCTCAAAAAATACAAACAATAGCAGAAGTGCCTCTAATTTGAGCCTCATAGTTTGCTTCTTTACAGGTGTACCAATATGCAAAACCATTAGCATCAGACACCCCTCAGCACAATTTTCAATTATCCGTAGCAAATTTTTAAAAGATGAATCAGCTTCCTTGTATCTTAAGAAATTTCCAGATTGCTCCCTATCACCATGTTATAAATGCAAAATGATTTTAAAAGTGCAAGTCAAATATAATTAAGGTGGTAAATGTGCCAAGATTTAGTTATGACACTTTCAAAAATCCCAACAGAAACACCTAGTGGAGTCTGTGTTGCTATAAACATCACTGCACCTGCTGATTTGCACAAATAATTAAGAACTAGCTCTATTTTCATACTTCACTTTAAAGACTTGTGATTTCCTCCTTGCATCAATGCATAGCGCATCATTCTTTTATGACTCAGTGGAGATTGTTTGATTCACTTTTCAGGCTGTGGCCTAAGAAATTCATCACCCTTCAAACAACCTGTTGAGACTCTGAATTGGGCTAGACATTAAGTCACTGTCCCTCTTGAGAGGCCTTTAAGAGAACCTACCAGTGTTTGCTCAGCTGATACAGCCTTTAAGATCCCAGGGTTATCTTTACACCATTAAGAAAAATTGAATACTACTTCAGTGGAGATATATTCATGTAAAAGTCAAAACTTAAAAACAAGTGTTATGTGGTGCCTATTCCCTATTGTTAGTCCATGACTCTAATACCCATGCTCACTCACTTCTACTCTAGACTACAAAGTAATATTCATGGATCTAAGGAATCACATCCTAAATCAAACTGACCATGAAACATTTTAATCTTCTAAGATGCAAATGGGACCTGTAAATGCTAAAGGATTCTGGAAGTATGGAATGCCATCCCAAAGAATATTGGACAATTTAGATTTATAATAAAAGGACATAAGGGACAGTCTGGAATAAAATAGAAGAAATTAAGTTTGCATTATTTTTAAAATACATTGAGAAGTTTAATGCCTGAACTTTGCCTTTCCACAGTAGTTGTGAATAAGACGCTAAAACTTTGGGGGCAGGAGGGAATGGAGAATAAGAGATTTTTCATCCTTTTATTTCATCCTTCCATCCTTTTCTGCAAGTTTTTGCCCCTGCCCAGAGTGGAACTATCCCACAGTCTTTTGACTGGAGCAGATGACATTGGGGTTAGTCAGCCAGGCTGGAGTCTTGTGTTTTTCTGCCCAAAGCAAAGCAGGCTAAGGGCTGGGGGAGGGAAAGTGTGCCACTCATCTACTTTCATACATAAAATATATGTATTTTTGATACCATAAGATTTTGAGGGGGAAGGGGTATTAGAGATTATCAGAGCAACTCCCTCAGTTTTACAAATGAGGAAACTGAGGCCCAGGGAGGTTAGCTGATTTGTCCAAAGTCACAAAAACAGGGAGAAGAATCAGTATTTGAAGCCAGCTTCTCCAACTTCAGTCTGATGACTTTTCCATAACAGCAAGTGGCTTCCAACAATTCAATATTTATTTTGATGGGAAAATATTACTGTCACTGAAATTTTTCTCACAGAATCCCTATTTACAATGCACAGAATAGTAGGGTTACATGGAACAATATGGGAAATGTTACTTTAGGGTACTCTTTATGGGCAGGGGACAGGAATAGGAATAAGGACTGGATATGTGATTTTCACTGTGTACATCCAAAGACTGTATTTGTCCTCCATGGCAAATTAAATGATTTTTAAGATACTCACATTCTTAGTCTAATTATGGCAAGAAAAAGGTATGATAATATGACTCAGGTCAGTCATGTAAAAGAATAGGCTTTACAACCTGGATATTATAATACTGCAGTTAACATTAGAGTTATCTTTGTCCCTGTTTTATCTCTCTACTAGTCTATTCATTTTATGAAGGCAAGATTCCAGTCTTTACTAAACTGTTTAATCTTCCCAGCACCCAGCTCAGTGCTCTGGGCACTTCTGGTACTTAATGAACATCTGCTGAATACAAACACGTAAATCCCGGGTATCAGGACAGGCTATATTATAAATTACGGGGGCAGTGACCCAGAGGCAGGGCCTGTCCCTAACAGGTTATTGTCTTCCTTTACCTCCACTTTTAAGTCTGTGGATTCTTTAGAATTGACCAGTTTTTAACAATAACTCCACATCTTCCAAAATTGCTAGCTCATCTGGGTTGGTGTACTATCAGTTCCACATTTTCTAGATTTTACTGTCTTCTATATAAAGCAGAACTTAAAAAAAAAACAAAAAAACATGGCTGGTTTTCAAAAGTCACAATTTTACTCCTTCTTCTCAGATAATAATTTGATTCTGTTTCACATGTTCTACAAAGTAGAATAATCAAATCCTCAAAGCAACAGGGAAGGAAAAGGACTCTTCAACTGAGGGTGGAAACGTTCTCACCCCACTTCCTGGGTAAGCCCAGTGAGTTCCACTCAGCAACCTGGGGTCTCATCTACAGGTCAAAGAATGGGGCTAAAGGGAACACCTTGCTCACTAAGCTTCTTTTTACTTTTTTCAAAGGTCTTTCAGAAAAGAGATCTTATTTTGTCTCATTCCTAAAAGGACCTTCAACCTCTTTGTTCCACCAAGGCTCTTTTTTAGTTTCTAAGTGGCAAAGCAGCAGCAGGTGAATGGTTTCAAGTTCAGTGCACAGTCACATCAATGCACATGGTAATGAAAAGGCTTCTTCTGGCCTCTGGGGCTCTCACTAATTTGATTAGATCTGATGTAATTAGAGCAGGGACTCAGTACTACCATATCCTTTCAAGCAAAAATTAAAAAGCATCTGTTTCATCAATGAGGGTATAGTTTCAGATAACATCTGGAGCAGCAGGCAGAAAAAATGAACTAAATTGTGCCCAGGTGTGTGTGCCAGAAACACTAGCTTCCCTTTACTTTCACACTGCTTGAGAAGAACATTGTTCTCTAATGGGAACACGGTCACTCCTAAGCCCATAGTGCAGATAATGGGCAGGTGTGCTTTCAAACACCACCATACAATTAGAGGATTAGATTAAGACAAAAGGTCAGCTTCACTTTGGTACTGGGGTGTAAAGTAACATTACAACAATAGAATGAAGTAGTAAAAGTGGATATTATGTCTAAAAATGAAGCTAAACAAATGAATTTCTTTAAAGGGCTTGACCAGTCTGTGAACACTAAGGGTAACGGAACAAACCACATAGAAGAGTCAGGAATCCTCGACTTGTACCTCAGAAGAGATGTCATCAGACTTGAATGCTAACCTGACTTCTCTTCAAAGCTTCCACTATGGCACCCACAAATACTAGTCACTCATGCTCTGCCTGTGAACGGGACCTTGCTCCTAGGCCACGCAGAGTTTCCCTACTGGCTGTTATCACTTGCTTTGGCAAGAGTGCGGCTTTGAGGGGAAGGAGGCACTAAAAAGCAGAATAAGGAGGTCTCCCAGTCGCCTTGATCTGTGCTTGAGAGAGAAGTGGCACACTGGAGCTCCTCTGTGGCATGAAATGTGAATTCTGGTCCTCACCTGCTATCACTGTGTTCACACATTCATAGAGGAGAGACATGGCAGAAGTGCTGAAAAGAGAGAGAGGCAACAAAATGACCAAGGGCCCTTTACAAATTTTAAACATCTCTGAAGCTCAAGGAAAACACTGCTCAGAAAGCAGCAAATTATTTGTGAATTCAGTGAAATGGGTATACTCAAATTCCTAATGTGTGCTTGTTTCCATCCAGTGTAACTCAACCTCGGGAAAGTTACAAATGTCTGTTTCTTAAAATTTCCACCAATCTATGATGCCATCCATACAAATGGAAAATCACACAAGCTTCTATGTATGAAAAATCTGCTGGCAAGAATAACAGCAACACTTTGGATTCATGCAACAATTTGCTTTTCAAAGCATTTCCAAATTCATCATCTCACATGACCCTGCTTGTGAGGACAACCTCTAAGCCTAGGTGTACCTGCCAACACTCTGGAAGGCAAAGTCAGGGGCAGGTGGCAAGTATTCTTGTTGGAGACACTTGAATTTTGAGGTCCAGAGCTCGAGAGGCTTGCCAAAGATGAGAACTTTGCACCCTGGATTTCTAATCCAGAGCTCTGTGACACTGTGGGTCTTCTCAAAGGATACATCCATGACCTGAGTTTGGTGACTGATTGTCCCTTGTCTTTGAGCTCATTACCTACTACGCTTAAGAACCAAATCATCCTGAAGATAAGAATCTATAAGGGTGGAAAAGATTGGGTCACAATATGGCCAACTTGTTTGTCATTGAAACAAAAATCTTTATGCATTTTTCCTATTTTTTATTAAAGTTTAAGATCTTTTACCTAAACAAGCTTTGGTTTCTTCACAAATAAGTCTTAAGTTCCCCCAACAAATACCTTTGACCAATGATCCAAAAGGATCTAACAGACCAGCATGTTTCTCCTTAACTTCAACATGGTAACTCCCTAGAAATATTAACGCAACCTGCATATCGGGCAAGAGGGAAGGGAGAAATACATAACTGTATTTTTTTATTTTGCATGTCCTCCCTAAAAATAAATACCATTGAGAGGCATCTAACACAGAAGTCATAGTAGCATTTATAAGTAACTAAAGTACAATAGAAATAGCACTTGATAGAGATCTGGGAGATAAGGGTTGGAGGATCAGCTTCCCCATGAACTGTCACATCTTGGGCAAGTCACTTGTATCCATTCTCTGGATCTGAGGCAGAGAGCGTTGCTAAATCTTGATATTATGACAAAAATTAATTTTTCTAGTTAAAAATCCTCTAAGTGCATTAAAATGAAAAACTATAATGAAGACAGAACAAGAAGAATACACAGAAGATTAACCTATAAATACTATCCATCATGCCCACCAAGTGGAGAATGGCTGAACTAGCTGTGGTATTTGAATGTAATGGAATAGTATTGTGCTATAAGAAATGATGAACAGGCTGACTTCAGAAAAACTCAGAAAGACTTGTACGGACTGATACTAAGTGAAATAAGCAGAACAAGGAGAACATTGTACACAGTAACAGCCACACTGTGTGATGACTGACTTTGATAGACTGATCTCTTCTCAGCAATGCAAGGACCCAAGACAACTCCAAAAGACTCACAGTGGAAATTGCTATCCACATCCAGAGAAAGAACTATGAAGTCTGAATGCAGATGGAAGCATACTATTTGCTCCCTTTCTCCTTTGTTTTGTTTTATTGCTTCATTCATGTGATTCCTCCCATAAGTTCTAATTGTTCTTTACATCATGACTAATGGGAAAATATGCTTAATATGAATATATAAAAAGAGCTTATATCAGAGTGTATGCTATCGGGGGAGTAGGAGGGGAAGAAAATTTAAAATTCAAAATCTTATGGAAGTGAATGCTGAAAACTAAAAATAAATAAATAATTTTTTAAAAAAAGAAAAAAAGAAATGCTATCCATCTTGATATTCTTCCTGAAGAAGTACTCAGTTTGAATAGTAGTACAGAAAATAACTGAAACCCTTTTGTGAGGGTTTGGACACAGGCTCTCTGGCTGTACTAGAGAGGATAAATCACAGCAGACATCTTTCTTTGCCTTTATTTTGAAAATACAGACAGTATTTTGCTACAGTAATATTTTCCACCTGTAAAAACCTAATAGTATAGTTAAAATCGAAATTGTCCATAATCCAAATACCCATTTTGCATGTTAATGGAGAATGCTTTAAATGCTTAAACTGGTGGAAAAAAAAGCAATAAGATCAGAAGACAATCTCAGAGATAAAAGTTACCTTAGAGACAATCCAGTCCTTCCAAAGAATGAAGAAAATGCAAAGTTAAGTAATAACTTGCCTTAATATGGCAAAGCTAGTTAATGACAAAGCAGGGACTAGACTCTAGCAATCAGGACTCTTAGTCTTTACTATATCACACTGATATTTATAAAAATTTAGATAAGTCTCCAAATGTGCCATAGAATTTAACAAACCCATATTTAAACATCAATGAAAAACAAGAAAACAATTTTAAAGCTAGTACCTAAAAATAGATTCACTTTCTTAGGCAAGCAGGTAACAAACTCAATTTGCTCACTCAATACCGGCTTATTATTTTAACATTCTGGAGAGCATCCAACACAGAAGTCATATTAGCATTTTAAAGGAACCTCAGGTATAGTGGAAAGATAGAGAGCTGGGAGATGAGGGTTCTAGGATCAGCTTTCACATGAACTGTTACATCTGGAGCAAGACCCTCTTAGTTTCCTTCTTTGTAAAATAAGGGATGGGACTAGGTAAGTTTTAAGGTTCTCTTCACCTCTAATAGTCTGTGATTCTATTCTTATGACTAACACATGCAATACGGATTCAGAGCTTTCTCATTCTGCAATGAGATTAAAATTGTCTGATTCATAAATCTACCTGAGAAAAAACTTGGGGAACATGATTCTGAGATTCATATCTGTGATCTTAGTTAGTGAGCTAAGAATAAAACCCTTCTTTAAATCTTTCATCTTAACAACAGAAAACATGGCTCGTTGTATTTATGGAGAAGAGCCACCTGGCCAAATGATCAAGCACACCTCAGAAGATGCCCTACCGTGATCCAGGGGACGCCCATCAGTCCTGCTGTGGAGAAGGGACCTACTTTCCTAATCATCAGCAACAACTACGAGCTGCCACAAACAGGTACACAGGGATGGGAGCCCTAAGAGCGGCAGCCCCCACGCAGAGGATGCACCCTGTTCCCAATGAACCCCTCACAGCCATCGTCAAGTGAAGCATTGTATTAAGCACTGAGGACACAAAGAGAGGCAAAAGAGAGTCCCTGCCCTTGAGAGAGACAACATGCAAACAAATATATCCCAAGCAAGCTACACACAGTATAAACAGGAGATAATTAACAGAGGGAAGGCACTTGAATTAAGGACTGGGAAAGGCCTCCTGTAGAAGGTGGGATTTTAGCTGGGACTTAAAGGAAGCCATCAAGGTCAGTATGTGGAGCTGAGAAGAGAAACTGTTCCAAGCACGGAAGGGAGATGGAGGGTCTTGTTCATGGAAGCCAGGGTCACTGCATCAAAGGGGTGGCTGTAGGGAATAAGGTGAGAGTGGTTAAGTGAAACTGATAGGCCTTGGCAACAAATCAGATATGAGGGCAGGGAGAGATAGTGAGGAGCCCAGGATGACTCCTACATCATCCTGAGGGACTGGAAGGAGAGCAATAGGGAAGTGAGGAGGGTTTAGGGAGAAAAATAAGGAGTTCAGTTTTGGATGTGTTGAGTTTGAAGAAGCCTACTGAATATCCAGTTTGAGATGTCTGAAAAGCAATTAGAGATGTGAGACTGGGGCAGCTAGGTAGTGCAGTGGATAGAGCACTGGCCCTGGAGTCAGGAAGACCTGAATTCAAATCCAGCCTCAGACACTTGATGCTTACTAGCTGTGTGACCCTGAGCAAGTCACTTAACCCCAAATGCCTCTCAAAAAAAATTTAAAAACTTTAAAAAGAGATTTGAGATTGGACGTTAGCACAGAGGTTAGGCAGAATACATAGATTTGAGAATCATTACCATAGAGACAATAATTAAATCCATGAAAGCTGATGTGTGTGTCTTTAAGGAAGAACAATCATTTTAATGTAAAAAATTATAAATATCCAGATGGGTAAGTCAGTTATCCAGAGACAATCGAACTTCATTTCCAAAGCCAAATAATTTTTGGATTATCTAGGGCAGATAACACAGTATTATTTTCACGTGTACTCTGATAATTTAGAAACCTAAAAATGGGAAGGACACTAAAACTCTCCTGAGGATGTGCAGGACAAGAGCTCTATGTTCTATTCCCTAAGAGTGGTCCATTCCAAGGCATCATCCTACTAAGCCTCAACACCCCTTGTTTAAGAAATGGTCCTGCCTAAGTCAAGACAAATCTGTTTGTCAAAGGACAAGTGATTTTACACAATTTTGCACAACACAATGGTTATTAGTATATTTTGTCCTTCTTTACGGTGCTATATTGTGGCTCTGTGACCTTGAGCAAGACTCAAACTTAATAAGCTTCTGTTTTCTCACCTGCAAAATGAAGGTCTATTTGCAATAGATCTAAGCAGAGGCAAATGGCTCGGGTTTATTTTGATATTCCTGATTCTGGGTGGGAGTCTGGGGTGTAGGGAACGGGATGGGAGTACAGCAACACACACAGACATACACATACACAGAGACACAGACAGACACAGACACAGACACACACACACACACATACACACCCCCTTCGGCTCTTCATATACCTACTCAAAGGACTCTAGAGCTAAAAATAACTCCAGTTCAAGGAAGCAGAAAACACAGGAAGAATAATAATATCAATACAAATATAAATGACAATGATGGCAGTCTGTTATAGTGACAGGGTGCTAGCTGGACTTATAGTCAGAAGATGGGGCTGTGACTTCACTGGCAAATTCCTTAACTCCCTAATTTAGTGATCTAGGCAACTTTCTAGGCCCCAAGTTTTCCACTGAATGCAGATGTGCATCAGTGGGAGCAGAGACTCCACACCCAAAGTTCTTTACAGGGAAGATATCCTAGATTCACGCCAAAATAACAGTACAATGTTTTAGGGCATTTGGGGCTTTATAGTTCTCAAAGTTTTTCCACAACAATTATTTCACTAGATGCTCACCACAATCCTGTAAAGCAAGCAGGGCAGCTACTATTATGCCCCTTCTACAAATGAGGAAATAGAAGGAAGGTACTTTGCCTAAGGCTAGTTAGTGGCAGAGCTAGGATTAGAACCCAGGTTTCCAGGCTCCTATTCAAATGTTCTTTCTAATGACACCCAAATGCCTTCTCAACAAGTATGTCAAGAAAGCCCAGCTCCCTCTTGTTATCTAATCAAAGCACACTCTAGGCTTAAATAAAGAAGCCTGGCCAAGGAGCTCTAGTATAGCACCAAAAGCAATCTCTCTGAAAACAGTGGTGTCATAAAAACAAAGCAAGTCAATTTATTACAGAATCTTCTTGGAAGGCAGATTAGTATGAAACTGAACAATGCAAATATTTATTGAGTGCCTAAAATATACAGAGACAAAAATAAGCTAGTCCCTAAAGCCCACCCTCTGAGAAGTTCAGTGACAATTTTAAGAATTCCAGACTATCAGAGTGGACAGAATTCTAAAGGCAAATTAGACAAATAAGAAATGTGTGTTCAATCTAGTTTTTAAAATTTACTGCCCTGGGGTGTTTCAGAATGGCCCAATTACCATATGTATTCCTAGAAATAACCCAATATGTACTCATAAATATTTGGATATGCGTTAACTGCTTAGGAGACTGGTACAATGAAACTGTGTAATTGTATTTGCTTTCAAATTTGTAATTTGCTTTCAAACTGTAATTTATTTCAAGTATGTAATTATATATTTAAGAAAAAGAAAATATGTATTTGTTTGGAACCTAGGAATACAAAATTTTCCCTTCCAACTTACCTATGTATTAGGTTGGTGAGGGGTTCAATCAGTTTTTTTCCCAGCCTTGGTTCTAAGGGAGTAAGAGCACCAAACTATTTAAATAAAAAGAAAAATCAACAGATTATTTTGTGGCAGGATACAGACTACATCTGATCATCTCATTTTTAAAGGCAAAGCAAGTTTGCAAAAGGTGTTTATTTTTTTCCTGAGTATACTGACTTACAGAAGCATATATCCTCACTCCATTAGATTAATTTATTGTGGATATCACTATGTAGTCTTTTGACTACAACTAAATTAAAAAAAATAATAACAAGGTCAAAGGACCTGGTACTTGGAAAAGGACAATAAGTTTCCATGTTTTTGTCAATTCATTTGATTATGCTTTTATAGATGTTAACAGCTTCATCTAAGATTTTATTCCTTATTCTTTAAGTTTACTTAATTTCTTTTTTTCTGATGGTTACTTATTTTACCAGAGAGAAAATCTGTAAAGAAAATATTCAATAAATGTTAGGGTCATGGACAATTTTCCTAATGAAAACGAAAAGCAATAATCACAGCATGGAAATACTTGCCAATTTGATAATCTTAATGAGGACCCAATTATTAGTGGAAGAAGTCATCAACTTAAAAAATAGTGGAGCAAGGGATAGGTAGTTTTTGGGATTTCGTCTGGCCAGCTCACAGATGACATTCACTGCCGCAGATTGCACACCTGTGAATATAAGAGAAGGTTGTCATCAGGAGAGGGTTCCACACCAGCAGCAGTTATATAACACTACCTTAGTAACTGGAAGCAAGGGTACATATGGCAAGTCATCCTGTTCGTATCCTCATTCTCCAAATACTCTTTTTCTCAGAGGGGAAAAAAACAGACTGTCCAGATTTCTGTGTAACACTTTTGTCCATTCATGTAGTGACCATGCTAATCTGGGCTCTCATCCCTTCTCACCTGAACTACTGTAATTGGTTTCTGGTTGGCATCTCTTTCTTCTCCAAAACCCATGGTCCACACAGATGTCCAAGTGATGTTCCTAAAGCACAATCCTGACCATGTCGCTCTCTTAATCAATCTTCAAGAGTCCCCTAATGCCACTAGGATCAAATACAAAGTCCTCCTGACATTTAAAGCCCTTGAACACTTGGCTCCGACCGGCCTTTACAGCATTACACATCATTCTTCCTCACAAATCCAAACTAGCCTTTTTGCTATTCCTCACCAACAACCTGCCCTGTCCTCATCTGCGTGCCTTTCTACAAGCCGTCCTTGATGCCTGACTCAATTCCTTCTTCACCTTTACCTCCCACAATTCCTAGTATTCATCAAAACTCAGCTCAAACACCATCTCTCACATGAGGCATTCTCTGACCACCCCTTTGCCCACAGCTGCTACTGCTTCCCTGCAAAATTACCCTGAATTTATCTGTGTCTATTTATATGTGTAGGTGTTATTTCCCTTATAGAACTCCTTGAGGACAGGATTGTTTGTTTTTTTAATTTCTGTTTCTGAGATTGGTCACTGGCAGTAGCCTGAATGGATTTAGAATGGGACCAAGATTCCATATATTAGGTTCAGCTTACCTTTATCTACAGGTCTATTTCAGTGTGAAATTATCCTATCATCTTACAGACCCAAACATCTCTTTCTCCTTTTCAACCCATGCAATGTAGAATTTTTGAATTGGAAAGGGCCTTTCTATTCAAACCTAGACCTAAAAAAGTATCCCAACTACAATAGCCCAAATAAGAGGCCATTTTTAACATTCACTCTTAATCACATTTTCACAGAAAATGGACTCGTCAAGATGTTGAATGTAACAGACCACCCTGCTACTGAACATGAACAGCTTTATTAAAACACCAAAGACAACAGAAATGTAACAAACCAGGGTCAGGATCCTCAAGTTTCTCTTTTAGACGAGGGAAGGCAGGGCGGAGGGACTCTGGGTATTTCAAGAACACTTTATACATGATCAGCACGGCCTTCTTCCTGATGTAAGGCTTCGTATGTGACATCTGTGAACCAGACAAATGCAGGAGATGCAAATACCACGTTGGAGGTCTGTGCAAAGGTTCATTTCAGTTCTCTCTCTCCCAAAAGTGCAAGCACAGTGTTGTAACCATTTGGAATTTATAGGTGAGATCCAATTCTGAAAATTTCTGCCTCCCTAGCTCCCTCATGCCATGAAGGAGGTATAATTTCTTTCCACAAACTATTTTATTTCTCAAAATAAAGTCTAATCAAACTAGAAAAAAATGTGGTCATTCATGATGAGCTCCCTCTTCTCATTTTCTATCCCTCAGCTGCCTTCTGTCACTATCTACTCCTTCACCTCTGTCTCACACAAATCCAGCCTCAACTTTTCTCCTCACAAGGCCTCAAAAAACCTTTCCCCTAGAGATGCCAGTCTCTTCACAGTCCAAAGAGGCTGAGCTCAGTCACGACAATACCAATACCCGCTGCATACCATCCCCATTCCTGGCTCTGCCTATTCCTAACCATGTTTCAGGGTTCAGCTAGTTTCTCACCTCTGCCATTTCCCTCTGGGCTCTTACTAAACATCCCCAAAAGTTAATGATCTACTGTGCTCACTTAACTCAAGAGCTTACGATCTCTGGCATCTGTTTAGGATAATTTTATCTATCGTCTTGAATTGGACTTAACTGTTTCATTAATAAAAGGAGGTTAAAATGGATGATGGGGGGGGTTGGGAGAGAGAGGGAGGGGGAGAGAGAGAGAGAGAGAGAGAGAGAGAGGGAGAGAGAGGGAGAGAGAGAGAGAGAAAGAGAGAGAGAATATATTTTATCTCCTTAACTAAACAGGATATACAAACCCTCCTAGAGGTCAAGGCCCATGCCAGTAAGTCAGTCAATGTGCATTTATTAAGCACTTACTAGTTGCCAGGCACTGTTAAGGTTAGAGATACAAAGAAAGGCAAAAATAGTCCCTAACTCAAGGAGCTCCTATTTATTCCCATCTCCTTCAAATCCCATCCCAAAATCCTGACCAAATGCCAGACCCACCCTGTGTCCTTTGGAATCACTTCCACAGACCATAAATTTCCCTTCATCCTTAATCTTTTCCTCTCCCACTCCTTCCATCTTCTAGCAATTAGTGAAACCTGCATCATCCCAATGACACAGCCTACCTTTCTAGTACAGGCCATGCCTTCACCCATTCTCAGCTCACTGCTTGAGGAGGGGAGTTGCAACAATCCTTGCTCTCCACTGCCATGTCCAGGTTCTTTCCCTACCTCAGTCACTCAGTAACTTTGCCTCCTTTGAGGTTCACAAAATTTATATCTACCCCCCAATCAAAATCCCGGTAGCTATTTTCTACAGACATTCACATCAGTCTCCTTCCTCAAAGAGTTTAGTACATAACTCACAATTTTTCTCTCCTCTCCAACTCTTGCTCTCAAAACACCCTAATGCCTTAGTCCCTTAACCTACTCACTTCCTGTGACCTATTCCTGCACTCCTCAGTATCACACAAAGACGGTCATACTTCTGATCTTGCCATCCCTCACAAATGCACCACTTTCATGTTTAAGAATTTTTTAAAATCCCCCTGATGTTGATCGGTTGAGTTCCCACCTCTCCTCTGCTTTCTCTTACCAACCTCTACTCTCTGTGCATACCATGACTTTCAATCCCTTAATCCTCAGGTCTCTTCCAGACCATCTCCCCTGCACTAGCATCTCCGTCCGTCTTTCTCCATCTTAACTCCTTGGTGACTCAGTTCTTCTCTACTTCTCTCTCTCTCTCTCTCTCTCTCTCTCCATATATGATAAGGTCCACTTACATTCCTCTTGATTGTTCCCTACCCAGCCTCAGTTTCAAATCATTCCCACCATCTGCCACCTTCAGTCCTATACACTGGCTGCTGAACAAAGGTGGAGGACAATAATTCTGACTGGGGTTTCCTACCAATTAGTTACACAATCTCAACTGGGTCTTCCCAGGCAATCATTCTACTCTCTCTTATCAACTCACTATCTTACTCTTCACAACAGGTCTTCCAGACCTTTCATCCCTTCTTAAGCCCCCCGTGGCTCCTCCTTCCACTCAGCCGAGAGTTCTCATCTCATATTTTACAGAAAAAATTGTGGTCATTCATGATGAGCTCCCTCTTCTCATTTTCTATCCCTCAGCTGCCCTCTGTCACTATCTGCTCCTTCACCTCTGTCTCACACAAAGAGGTGTCTTACTCCTTCCCAAGGATCACTCCTCTACTTGTTCAAGCAATCTCATTCCATTTCATCTCCTCCAACAGATCCCCCCTCTGTCATCCCCACTGTATAACTTATCTTCAATCTTCTTGACCTCTGTATAGCAATCGACACTGCTGATCACTGTCTTCTCTTTGATACCCTCCTCTCTCTGCATTTTGGGAACTTCACTTTCTTCTGGTTCTCCTTGCTATCTGACCACTCCTTCTCAGTTTCCTTTGCTTGGTCCTCTTTCTGATTAGATCCTCTAATTGTAGGTGTCCCTCAGGGTTCTGTCCTGGGCTCTCTTCTCTTCTCCCTCTATATACTTCACTTGGTGATCTCATTAGCTGCCATGAAATTATTGCCATTGATCTATGCTGATGATTCTCAAATCTACCTATCCTGCCCTAACCTCTCTGCTGACTTAAGTCTCACATCCCAACTGCCTTTCAGACATCTCAAACTAAATGTCCAGTAGACTTCTTAAACTCAACATGTCCCAAATTTCCCCTGCCTCCAAACTTCTCTATTGCTGCCAAGTGCAACACCACCCTCCCAGTCCCTGAGACTTGCAAGCTTGGGGCTGTCCTTTACTCTTTACTCTCTCTGACCTGCCATGTTGCCAAAATATGTTGGTTTGCAACATTTCTCAAATATGCCCTTCCTTCCTCTGATACTGTCACCATGTTGCTGCGCAGGTCCTCATCACCTCATGCCTGTATTATTTCAAAAGCCTGCTGGTGGGTCTGCCTGCTTCAAGTTTCTCTCCACTGCAATCTATCCTCCATTCAGATGCCAAAGTAATTTTGCTAAAGTACATGTCTAACCATGTTGCTCTCCCCAAATTCTCTGGCACTCAAAGCCCTTCATAACCTGGCTGCTCCCTCCCATCTTTCCAGTCTTCTTATACCTTACTCCTGACATGCACTCTTTGATCCAGTGACACTGACTTTCCAGCTGTTTCAAAACAAGACACTCCATCTCTCAGCTATGGACATTTCTCTGGCTATCCCCCATGCCTGGAATGCTCTCTCACCTCTGCTCCAACTACTGATTTCCCTGCCTTCCTTTAAGTCCCAACTGAAATCCCATCTTTTACTGGAAGCCTTCTCCAACCCCTCTTGATTCTCGTGCCTTCGTCTCTTTTAATTGTTTATTTATCGTCTATATAACTTGTTTGTACATATTTGTTTGCTTGTTGTCTTCCCTATTAGACTGTAAGTTCCTCAAGGGCAGGGACTGCCTTTTGCCTCTTTGTGTATCCTCAGGGCTCAGCACAGTACCTGACACATAACAGGCACCTAGTAAATGTTTACTTACTATTGACTATGCTAATGGGGGAGATAACATGCCAACACCTTATACAAAAAAGATATATACAAGATAAAATGGAAATAATCTTAGAGGAAGGGTACTGGCATTGGGGGGGTTTGGGGGGAGAGAAGGGGTTGGTCAAGGCTTCCTGAAGTAGGTGGGATTTTAGCTGACACCTGAAGGAAGCAAGGCCAGGAAGAAGACAGAGAGGATGGAGAGAATTCCAGGCATGGGAGCCAGCCACTGAAAATGCCCAGAGCTGAGACAGAGCATCTTGTTTGAGGAACCTGAGAAGGCCATTGTCTCTTGATCCCAGAGTACACAGCCAGGAGTAAGCCTCTGGGTTTCTCTGACTAAAATCTCACATTCTCAAGAAGTCTTTTTCAGTTCTGCTGAAGGCCAGTGCCCACCCTCTGAGATTATCTCCAATTTATCATGTCTAGAACTTGTCTGTAAACTGTTTGCATGTTGTCTCTACCATTAGACTGTGGATGCCCTGAGAGCAGGAACTGTCTTCTGCTTTTCTTTGTATCTCCACTGCTTAGTACAGAACCAGGCACATGGTAGGCTCTTAAAAAATGACTAATGTGGAAATGTTTTGCATGACTGCACACGTATAACCTATGTCAAATTGCCTGCCTTCTCAATGAGTGGGGGAGGAGAGGGAGACACAGAGAGCATTTGGAACTCAAAATTAAAATTAAAACATTAAAAAAAATGAATGTTAAAAATTATTTTTACATGTAATTGGGGAAAAATAATAAAATATTAAATCACTGACTATCAAAAAAATGCTTATTGACTTTAACCTGTTTTTGTGTAATGGACCCCTTTGGTAGTCTGCTGGAACGTTTTTCAGTATGTTTTTAAATGCATAAAATAAAATACATAGGATTATAAAGGTAATCAATTATAATGAAATGTAGTTATCAAAATGTGAAGAACAAATTCTCAGATCCCAGGTTAAGAACCCTTACTACAGACCTCTCTGCTGACAAAACCCTAGAAAATCCAGGGTCACCTCCACGCCATGATATCAAAACATAACTTTAGGGATATGTGAAAAGGATAAAACAAATACCTGTCACTGATATGTAAACTGATTTACTTTACACTGAATAGCTCAAGCTAAAAATCACTGGGGTATTCTTAAGACCTCACCTCTTTTAAGTCAACAACCCACAACTCATCTTTATATCAGAGGTGCTCTAAGTTTTATCTCCCATTTTATATATAAGGAAAATTGAGGGTCAAACAGGAGGTAACATAGACTTGAAATCATAAAGAGAGGTCTAGTTATTTCTGCCAACTCACCAGAGTCATGATGTCATTTGCCAAATCTCTGGCGAGATCTGGAGTAACAAAACAGGACAAACCGGTCAGTGCAACTCCAGTATCATACTGGTTGGGGCTACTCAGGTCCTGCAAAGATGGAGGGGAAAACAATTTAACAAAGCATACAAATCCACTCTACTTATGACGAGCTACATTTCCACAGAAGTATTACATATGGAATGAATGAAAATTACAATATTCATGAATCTGAGGAGAAATAAAATTCCCCATTCATACTATTTTATGGGCTAAGCTATAACCAGGCAATATCTCATCCAATTAGTTTCTAAGGAAACAGCCTATGTAGGAAAACACAATGTTTTAACTGGAGAATGCAGAACACACTGTTAAAAAAGAAAAGAATTAAAAAAACTGTCACAGGTGGGAATTGTTGGATACCAAATATTCCACAGATGCAATTGTTCACCTATCATAAGCACATGTAGCAAAGTTGCATGTCTGTAGAATTAATGGGTCTAAGAAATCATCCTGGCTTAGAGTAGGTTTAAAATATTACCAACAACAAAAAATATTACCACAAATTTTAAAATAACATCACCAGACAGTGACACACAGTTTTGGGTGACAGTAAAATATGTTTAAGTGAAAAGGTAAGCAGCTGGGTAACTCCTCAGAACTGAATAAGGGAAAATTCTTTTGCCCTTCAGTTGGATTTTTCCCCCTAGAGTATAAATGGATAATTCATCAAGAGGCTCAGAAACTGATCATTAAGTGTGGGCAGTTCTATGACTTACCCTGAGTCTTCATTGACTCCAATTAGTGAGAAAGTATGAAAACAAGAGGAAAAGAATGAGATTGCAGTCTTGAAGCCTTCCTTTGTATTGTTCTCATTGTCTTTCTGTTATATACTTCTACATTACTATGTGGAAGCATAAAAAAGCCAACATTTTTAGTACCTCTAGAAATATTAAGAAACAATATTTCTCTAGTCTAAAAAGTCCCTTTTCTACTAACTCTCCAACATTATCAGGTGTTAGGTTAAGGACAAAAGGCCTTTCCTAAGGAAATGGATTAAAGATGGAACAGAAGCTTGAATTCCAGTCTTCCACAACTCCTGAAGAGATTAGCCAAAGACAGTGCTCTACATTTCATTGCAAGGGAATCTGCTACTGAGAACCGATTCTTAATGTTAACCTCTGGGAGAAGTCACATTGATTCCTTGAAGGAAGTGGTCCAGGTAGGAATGGGATGGTGACTGTTACTCAACTATTTCTGACTGCTAACCTCAAACTGTATTTTAACTTCTTATGATCTTTTCCTTGTTTAAGATTCTTATAAATGTTACCTCACAAGTCCTGGTGGGGTAGAGGGGAGACATTTCCAAGGGCACTTTGTCATTTTGGACATTTCTCTCATTAAGCCAGAAATAACTTGGATATTAATGTTAAATTAAATAAAATTGTTTCTGGCCAGATGAAAATGCAGGGTACAGTATTAATATCTTTTTCTTCTACAACTACAACATACATTTTGAATTCTTGCTCCCCAGGTTGGGGAAAAGGTATTGTGGTGTATATTATTTTGAACTGCATTTGGGTTGAAGTTTATTCATTAAGCCCACTAGGAAATTTAATATTCAACTTAAGAGATACAAGAATATGCAGCATAGGATTTTCCATTTGGGGCTTTGTAAGAATTATAAAAATATTAATTTTGCACAAGCCTGTGTTCAGGGCTGAAGGCAGCAAAAGCAGAGTTCACCCCACATCACCTGCAACTTATCTGACAGAAGTTCCTTGTTTCCATAGTATTCTTTTCTGAATAGTTAGAGAAAGGTCACCTGGAAGCCAAAGAAAATTGCTACAGCACTTTACTAGGTCCCTAGAGAATATAAAAAGCCCTGTAAAAGTGATCAGTCAAGAAAGAAGAAGGGGGGGGGGGGGGAGTGTCTACGAAAAAGGAATGAATGAATGATTAAGGTTACTCTAACTTGTACTGAATAGGAAAGCACAAGTTCATTTAGGAGGCCTCTTTCTGAGCTTCCAATTCAATTCCTATCGAACTGCCTACAGGATCAAGGCCAAATGTTATTTTAATGCTTAATACTTAAACTTTGCTTCAGGCTGGCATTCAAAGCCTTCCACAAACTACCATTCTAACTATTCCTCTCATACTACATAACACCATATATATGTGGATAATCCTTTGCAGTTTCATAAAGAACTCTCACTTACTTATTAAACAACCTAAAAATATTAAGTTTCTTGCCCATGGTCAGAGTGGCAAACTCAATGACCCCTAAGACAATAAGTCCCGCTCCCAACCAACTCCACATCTCCTCCTCTAATCACACCGTTCTATGCTCTCCTTCCTTCTCTCCGCTTATCTAAGTTTTACCCTCACTTGTCTGAATGCCCAACTCCAAGCTTTCTTTGACTATCCCAGCCCTTAGTGACTTCACCCTCCTAGGAACACCTGTGCATCTTAAGACTACTTATTTGGTACCAAGCACATGCTACCTTGTGTTATAACTGCTCTGTATGAGGGGGAGGGGAGGACACTGTGCAGGGAAGGAACTGGAGAGGGCTGGGGTGTACATGGATAGATATGTCCTTTCTCCCCAACAAGACTGCAAGATTTTTTTTTTAAACAGCAAGGGCTCTTATACCTCTCTGTATCTTCAAGAGAATATAAAGAGTAAGCATTCAATAATTGCTGCTGACAAAAAAAAAAAAGATTTCGCTTGAATTCTAGCCTTCGTCATGGGTCAGCAACCTGTGCCTCTAGCAAACAATTTGGGAGCTGTTATGAACTCCAAAAAACTCAAGAGTCAGACCCAGCTTGTGTCCTCCTTCAAGGTCATACATCCCAGGTTCTACATCCACAACTCCAACAAGCCACTCTGATGTCCCCAAATTACCTCTTCTGAAAACACTGGGTATATGAATCATGTCTATATCTGACTTCCAAAGCCGGACACAGTCACATTCTTGGCCCTGTACCTGAACTTTTTTTCTCGTTTGGGTTTAAAGAAGGGCCAGAAGCATAGCCAGACAGAATGAGATAAAGGCCAATGGCCACCCTCAGCTCACCCTGGTCAATTTAGAAAAAAAGTAGCTGCCTTCAGTTGTTAAGTCTACAAGTTGCTGATTTGTAAATTACATATCCCTAACCCATTATATTATCTTAATTATTATATAATTAAGGAGTGAAATCAATGCCTCACCCCTAAAAACATTGTCTGAAATGTAGAGAATGAACAGGACTTTATTGAATTAATCACTTTCTGATTTTCCTCAAAGGGGAAAGTAATCTGCTTGTGAAACTCATTCAGTGTTAGGCAACGAAAAATAAGCCTTAACAAATATATAACCCAAAACTAACGCTCAATTTCATCCCCAAAAAGTCTGATGGAATGTCATCAGGGAGAAGTCAAAAGGAAAAGCAACAATGATCATCTCACATACAGATTAAGTAGAGATTACAAACCACTTAAAGCAAACGCTTTTATAGACCAACCCTCAAAATACCCAATAAGTATTAATAAGAGTTCACACTCATATAGAGCTTACAGGCTTGAAAAGTGCTTTGCATACATAATCTCATTAAAGGAAGACAGATGACAAAGTGGATAAAGCACTAGAGCTGGAGTATGGAAGATCTGAGTTCAAATCAGACCTCAGATACTTACTAGCTGTATGACTCAGGCTAAATCACTCAACCTTTCTAGGCCTCAGCTTCATCACTGTAAAATGGGGATAACAACAGCAACTGCAACACAGGGCTATTGTGAGGATCAGATGAAATAACTGCATAAGGCATTATATAACTACTAGCTAACATTATTATTATTATCCTCACAAAAACCTTCTGAGATCCCCCATTTTAGAGATGAATAAATGGAGACTCACGTAAAAAGCTAAAAAACGATATACATTAAACAATTTTTCCAGAATCCTCCAAGCTCTTGGCAAAAAGAAAAAAATTCACCCCATTATTTCCTATAGCAACTGTTTTCACTTTTTGTCTTGTCTTTTCTGAGGAGAAGTAAACAACTATACAGGAAACTTGCTTGCTAGATTACTTTATAAAAGAGTCTTTTCCCTTTTATATTAGATTCACTTTTAATAGAGATGATCATGACCTAATTATATTCCTTATAAATGAGAATAAATGGCTTTTTGGAAGAGAGAAACAGACACACAGGAAATAGTGAAATTTGACTAAAGTAAACAGTGGTTCCAGCTGAAACTGATCACTTACCTTTCGAATTTGATTGGTAGTCAGCATAATTACATCAGTTCCTTCATGAAAGCACTGAGAAGCAGCTAGATAACCAACTCGCTGTTTATTCAGAAAAACAGAAGCATTAAATTTTTTGCACCAGTCTTGCCTTTCTTGGAACTCAAAGCTCCTACTCTAGGAGCATCAGTCCCAAGAAAAACAAAACCTGTAGTCATGAAAGAACTACAGGCTAGATACATGGGGAGCTGTTAACTCTGGCTGGCCAAGACAACAAAACATTTGTTTAATATTCCAACCTAGCATTTCAGTGTTTTAGAATGGTAGTGATTTTAAAATGCTAAATGTCACTCAATAAGGCTTTGCTTAAAATTGACACAGAAGATCAATTATCAGTTTGGTTGTTCATTCTTCCCATTTCTACTAACTTCATTTTCGCAATCAGTGACTTTTTTTTTTTTTAAACTCAACGCTACAGTCTACTTTCAGCTTTTGACTGTCTAGCCTCTACAGTGGAACAAATACGTATCTTAAACTACATGCTTGTGGATCCCAAATTATATTTTAAACAAACAACTGAAAATATTTCAAATTTTGCGGAATACAGTATACATCTCTTAAGAGAGAGTACACAGAAGGCAGAATAATTGTGTTTTGTAAAGACACTGAGGTCAAAAGTGAACCTGGTGGTAAAAGAAAGAAGTCACAAGGAGTAACATTTCCTCTAGAGGCACTAACCAAAGCACTATGCTCACTTGGGTTCCACAATATCAGAAATAACCTAGTTGACTTCAGTCCTTCTTAACATTGTAGGGAATTTAAATTTGGCTTAAGACAGATAGTAGACAATTATCAATAAAATAATTCCCAGTGTTTCACTTAGAACAACAGGCAGAATTATCAGGTTTGAAATAGTTCAATCAACTGTATTTGTTAGAGGGGGTCAAACCTTGCTAATGACTCTACAATCCCCTACTTCTGGACAAACAACATTCAAAAGATCCAATTCAGGACTTTCTGGTCATATGGAAAGTGCCCACATGTCCCCAACTTGTCTCACCTGGTCCATCTCCAAGCTTGTTATCACGTCCCAATAACCCAGTCCCCTTTCCCTGAACTTTTGTTGGGTGGGAGGAAAGGGAAGGTAGGAGCAGTTGTCCTTCCTCTTCCCATGATTCTTTCAGGAACTCAATAGGTAATACCCCTCTCTCACTTTCAGCTTAATCCTCCTATACAAGATCTAAAAATTTGGAGGAAATTTTAAAATGGGTTCTTCCTCAACAACAAAAAGAGGTTGAGGATTTCTGTACTGGGCTTAGAAACTGTGACAGAGATTGTCATATTTAAAAACAAACACAATGGCCTCTTACCTTAAATGTAAACTTTGAAGCACTCATTACTTCAATAATGTTGAAAGCAGCCCAGCTAATGTCATATCCCAACATCTGCAACTGTTAGAAATAAGAGTAAGACACCATAACTTTATAGTTCCTTCTTAATGACCCCTGAACCCTAAAACAAAAGTAAGAATGAGATTTACAAATGTGGAGGAAGGCCACATTACCAGCATGTACTTTGTATGTGTGCACATTTTAAGGCTTGGTATCTGCTTAAATTTTGACAAAAACTATACTCAAAGGATAATGCACAAAACTACCCAGGAGAAAGAGTGTTACACTTTATATTTGTACCAATGTGATGAAATTCCACACCACAGCCCTTCATTTCCCCAGGGTCTAAGGGATCATCTAGATGGGCGCTCCCTGTATTGAGACAGAGGATACAGGAACTCTATGAGCTGCTAGGGCCCTCCCACCCCCCAATTAATTACTCAAGAGTTAACTTTCTAATGATGGACACACCCTGTTTATCTCCAGCTTGTCCAGCTTTGTAGGCTCTGCTGGAGCTTATACTCTGCCTGAACTGCCTTCAAGAATATAAGAATAGAATTTATAGAAATAGGGGCAGCTAGGTGGTGCAGTGGATAGAGCACCAGCCCCAGAGTCAGGAGGACTTCAGTTCAAATCCGGCCTCAGACACTTGACACTTACTAGCTGTGTGACCCTGGGCAAGTCACTTAACCCCACTGCCTAGCCAAAAAAAGAACCATTCCTTAATTGATAAATAGTCAAAGAATATAAACAGACAGTTTTCAGATGAAGGAATCAAAGCTATCTATAGTCATATAAAAAAATGCTCTAAATCCTTATTGATTAGAGAAATGAAAATTAAAACAACTCTTGAGCTACCGCTTCACACCCATCAGATTGGCTAATACGACAAAAAAGGAAAACGACAAATGTTGGAGGGGATATGCGAAAAAGTAAGACACTAATTCACTACTGGTGAAGTTATATACTGATTCAACCACTCTGGAGAACAACTTGGAACTATGCCCAAAGGGCTATAAAACTATGCATACCCTTTGACCTAGCAATACCACTACCACATCTATATCCCAAAGAGATAAAAATCAAAAAGGAAAAAGACTCATAAGTACAAAAATACTTATAGCTGTTCTTCTAGTAGTGGCAAAGAACTGGAAATCAACTGAGGGATGGCTGAACAAATCGTTGTACATGAATGTGATGAAATACTATTGTGCTATAAGAAATGATGAGCAGGACACTCTCAGAAAAACCTGGAAAGACTTACATGAACTGACACAAAGTGAAATGAGCAGAACCAGAAGAACACTGTAGACAGTGACAGCAATACTGTATGATGATCAACTGTGAATGACTTAGCTATTCTCAGCAATATAATGATCTAAGAATACTATCCATCTCCCGAGAAAAAACTGATGTAGTGTGAATGCAGATCAAAGCATACTTTTTCTTTATTTTTCTTTGGTTATTCGTCTGTTTTCATTCACAATATGGCTAACGTTGAAATATGTTTTGCATGACTGTACCTGTATAACCTCTATCAAATTACTTGCTTTCTCAATGAGGGGGGTGAGGGAGAGAAAGAATTTAGAACTCAAAAGTTTTTTTTAAAAATTAATGTTAAAAATTGTTTTTACTTGTAAGTGGGAGAACAATAAAACATTAAATTAAAAAATAAATTTAATAATATTCAATTTTTTAAAAAAGAATACAAGAATAGAGAGAGCTTCTCCAAGCCAGGAGTCAGTGAGTCAGTGAACAAGCATTTATTAAACACTGTGTGTCAGGCACTGGGCTAAGCACCAGATTTTCAGAGTCACTGCCCTGAAGGAGCTCAAAGTTTAATGGAAGGTACAAGATGCAAATAACTATGCAGTTAAGTGGAAGGTAACCCCAGAGGGGAGGCACTGGCAGTAAAGTGGATGGGGGAGGAGAAGGAGGGGAACAAGTCTCTTACAGATGGGGATAGTTGAATTGAGTCTTACAGGAGGCCAGAGAGGCTGGAGACAGAGGTGAGGATTAAGAGCATTCCTAGCATGGGGGATGGCCAGTGAAAAGGCATGAAGTCACGGTATGGCGTGTCATGTGAGAGGAACAGGAAGGCCAGTGTCAGTGGATCACTGAGTAAATATAAGTGAGTAAAGTATAAGGCTGGAAATTAGTAAGGGACCATGTTGTAAAGGGATTTAAATGCTGAACACAGCATTTTATATTTGATCCTTGAGGTAATAGGGAGGTAAACCACTTCAGTGTAATGACCTAACATTTATATACCACTTTATGTTTTGCAAAGCACCTTCTACCTAGGCAGCTTAGATGCAATGGAGAGAGCTCTTGGCTTGGAATCAGGAAGACTCGAATTCAAATTTGACCTAAGGAATTTACTAAGCTGTGTGACCCTGGATAAGTCACTTAATCTTTGTCTGCCTCAGTCTCCTCAACTGTAAAATAGGGATCATAACAGCATCTACGTCCTGGGATTGTTGAGAAGATTAAATAAGAATATTTGTCAAGCGCTTAGCACAGTGCTTGGTACACAGTAGGCACTTAAATGCTTGGGCCCTTTCCCCAATTTATATAAATATCTTAATATTAAAAAAACACTTTGTACCCCCACAGTTAGAAATTGGCCTCAATCGAAGCTAAGAGAAAGGACCATTACTATGACTTACCATTACTATAAAAGGTAATGGACTTGGCCTACTGTCAGACCTAAAGAAAGTAGTTTCCAACACTACAGATGACATCCTTCCCCACCTCTCCCCTACCCTACCATGACTTGGCAATCAAACTTGAAAACTTTTAGCAGGGATAATCCAGAAGAAAAAGTTTAACAAGAATTTAGAAACTACAAAATAATTAAAAGCCAGTGTTGCTTCTATCTGAGAATGCATGAATGCTTCTATATAATCCCCAAGCCCACCACTTTTCTACCATCTATCATGTTACTTTGTTGAAAGTCTATATATTTGTGGGTTAGTTCAAAAGTATTTGCTCTGTCATAATTTATTATAAAAACAATTTTTATCTCAAAATTAAAATATTTTCCAACATTTTTAACATTTAAAATAAAGCAAAATTAAAAAGAAAATGTGACAAAAATCCAAAGAACAAGCATGGTATGGTCCCAAAAAAGAGAAGCTATTCCCCCACCATCCACTTTGGCCTTCTTTGCAAATGTGGGAGGTCTATAGTCACTGGACCTATATTATAGATTTTTTGATGTACTGATCAGGTTTTGCTGAATGTTTTCTCTTTTTCCTCTTTTCCTCTTTTTTTTTCTTTAAAAATATTATCTGTTATATGGCATGATTCTTTGGGAAAGGAGGATAAATTTCAGTGATGTAAAAACAAAAGATATCAATAAAATTTATTTTTTTAAAGGGATGCAGAAAAGGCAGTGAGAGGGTGGGACACGTCATAGGGCATAAATAGGTGGTACGGCCCATTTAAAGTAGTTCACAAATCACTGTACTTACATAGGTGAGCTTGCAGACCGCATTTGCTTTTACTGCAATATTATCTTGCTTCAATTCTTGTTTGATCTCATCAATACACTGAGATATATATTTGGCCTGTAAACAAAACAAAACAAAACAAAACAGAAGATGCTTAAACACCTGTGATTCAACTGATGTGGGTACCCTCCAAGAAAGCCACTCATCCACACTTTTCCATTCTCTGGAGCTCTTAGCCATAGCCTCCCATAAATCCTCCAAGGATGGTTTTCCCAATTTGCTGGAAGCCGTTCTTGAATGCACAAGGCATTGTCCATCAGCAGCAGATATAAAAGATGCATTACGTTTAGTGGCTGTCTCTCCAATTATGCTGTACTTGGCATGTGTGGACCTAAACTTGAACCTCAGCTCTACCACATACTATATGACACTGAGCCAAGCATTTAACCTGTTAGCTGACCACTGCTTAGATTGTAGAACTAAACCATTTACTACCTGTGTGAGCTCAAGTACCGCATCTATAAAAGCAGAGGGTAAACTAAATAGTCTCTAATGTCCCTTACAGCTCTAAATCTATGATTTTATGATGTTGGTGTCTGAAAAAAGAAGCATTCTTCCTATACCTGTTAGGTTGAACTCTTGAGTAGATCTCATTTAAGAAGTTTAAACAGTTAAGAGAAAACTTTCCAAAATAATGGTCAATTTCCAAAAGACTCATGATGGAAAATGCTATCCACATCCAGACAAACTATGGAGTCTGAATGCAGATCAAAGCATACTATTTTATTTCTTTTTTTCCTTTCTCGTGGTTTTCCCTTTTGTTTGGATTCTTCCTTCACAACATGACTAATGGAAACATGTCTAATAGGATTGTATATGCATAACCTATATCTGATTGTATGCCATCTTGAAAGGGAGGGAGAGAGGAAGGGAAAAAAAATTTGGAACTCAAAATCTTACAAAAGTGAATGTTGGAAACTATCTTTACATGTAATTGGAAAAATAAAATACTATTATGTGGGAAAAAAATAGGATTCCTGGAAATATTCTTTCCGTTTCAATATAAGGAAGATACAAGAATGCTTTCCCCTTGTGGCAACCAGATGGCGCAGTGGATAAAACTCCAGCCCTGGAGTCAGGAGGACCTGAGGTCAAATCTGACCTCAGACACTTGACACTTACTAGCTGTGTGACCCTGGGCAAGTCACTTAACCCCAACTGCCTCACCAAATACAAAAGAAAAAAGAAAAAAAGAATGCTTTCCCCTCCCAAGAAAAAGGCTGATGCTCTAAGGGAGTCCTATATAGAACTAGAAACCAAGTGACCCTTTGACAAGTGACCCCCCTTTCAAAGTTCAATTTTGGTCAATGGACCAATGAATCATATTTTTAGAACATTTTCCTCATAAAGACAAAAATTATCAGAATCAAATACAAGACAACAGTTCCTTAGTCATGTGCATTTCCCAGAACAGCTGTTTTTCAGCTTCCTTGTCTTTTCACAAGCTCACATTTATATATATATATATTTTTAAAACCTTCTATTTACTTAGATTTTTAAAGTTTAGAAAATGTTTTTTTTTAATTTTACAGGGTATTTCCTCCATAAAAACTCTCTGAGTAGGCAATTTAAATATTATGACGTTTATTTTGTAGAGGCAGAAACAGAGATGTTAAGAGACTTTTCTTGCTTTATACTGTTACTAAACATCAGAACCCAGATATAAATCTAGGTCTGATGCCAAATTTGGTCCTTTTCCTACTATACCATGCTGTTTCTGGTGGCAAAATTTTCTCATTCTTCTTAAATGCGTTAACTTGCTAAAAATGAATAAACACAGAAGCTAAGGGCTATAGCTCCATCTAGTTCATTCCTCTACAGGCAGAACTGCAAATAAATCAAACTACTGAAGATTGTCCAGTTATGGTATGAATAAAATATTTTTGCTGTGACCTAGTTATTTAAGTTATGTGTTTCTGCAATCAATTTTACTGAACATTTGAAAAATAAAACAGACTTTGAAATACTGCTTAGAAGGCAGGTTGCTAGGGTGATGGAAGAAGGTGAGACAACCTAGCATGTACTTTACAGTGTCTTTCCAGTTTAGCAGTGACTCTCAATTTAGAAAGCCCAGGATCTATTTCTAAGGAATCTCAAGATCAGAGGCACAGAGAAGGACATACCAGTTCCTAGATCTGGCTCAGGAAATCACATGACTTTTTAAATTTCTGTCATGAGCCTCTGTTTTCAGGTGTTTTTAAGTACCACAAATTTTGTAAGCTACTGATACAAAAAGAAATTCATGGGACATAAAAGGAAGAAGGGAACCTTACAAGGTAGAACACAGAATGGTAGAAAAGGGAGAGATCTTTGAACAGAGAAGAGAGAATACCGGAGCTCAATGGTGTCTCAGAGATCATCTAGTCCAATCCTTTCATATTAAAGATGAGGAAAATGAAACCCAGAGAAGGAAACTAAATTTCCCAAGGTTATACAACAAATCAGTAGAAAAGACAAAATGAAAATTTAGGTTCCTTGCCTCCCAGTCTAGGGCTTCTTCTATTATTGTAGTCTCTCTTCTCAAAGGAATACCCTCAATAGTATAAATCCACACTGCCCTAAGAGAAACCTGTGTCACACTGGAAGACAACTACATTCCAGGCCTCTTCTCCATTACTGGATGTACCTTTTCTCATACCCCTGGACACAGCTGACCAAAGGAAGAGACGGCAGACTTCCTGTTGACCACTTCCTAATTTCCCAATATTTCCTTGATCACCACCATTCAGGGATCCTACCTTCCTTTAAAGTTTATTGTATATGAGATGCAGCCAAAGCTGCTTAGGGATAATTTTATATCTCTAAATACTTACATGAGTAACACAGAGAAAGAGGAGATCAATGAATTGGTCGTGCAACTAAAAAAAGAACAAATTAAAAATCCCCAATTAAATACCAAATTAGGAATTCTGAAAATCAAAGGAGAGATGAATAAAATTGAAAGTAGGAAAACTATTGAACTAATAAATAAAACTAAGAGTTGGTTTTATGGCAAAAAAAAAAGACACTAAAAGAGATAAACTTTTGGTTAATTTGATTAAAAAAGAAAGAAAACCAAATTACCAAATGAAAAGGGTGAATTCACCACCAATGAAGAGGAAATTAAAGCAAGAATTAGGAGCTTTTTTGTCCAACTGTAGGCCAAGGAATCTAACAATCTAAGTGAAATGGATAATAATTTACAAAAATATAAATTGCCCAGATTAACAGAAGAGAAAACAAAATACTTAATTAGCCCCATCTTAGAAAAGGACATTGAACAAGCCATCAATGAACTCCCTAAGAAAAAATCTGCATGGACAGATGGATTTACAAGTGAATTCTACCAAACATTTAAAGAATGGTCAATTATAAACTATTTGGAAAAACAGGTGAAGAAGGAGTACCAAATTCTTTTTATGACACAAATATGATGCTGATACCTAAACCAGGAAAAGCCAAAACAGAGACAGAAACTTTAATTTCCCTAACTGAAGCAAAAATTTTAAATAAAATATTAGCAAAGAGATTATAGCAATTTATCAAGAGGATAATACACTATGACCAGGTGGGATTTATACCAGGAATGCAGAACTGGTTCAATATTAGGAAAACTATCAGCATAACTGACTATATCAATAACAAAACTAACAGAAATCATATGATTATCTCAATAGATGCAGAAAAAGCCTCTGACAAAATACAGCACTCATTCCTGTTAAAAACACTAGAGAATACAGGAATAAATGGAGTTTTCTTAAAATGGTAAGTAATATTGGGGGCAGCTAAGGTGGTGCAGTGGATACAGCACTGGTCCTGAGTCAGAAGGACCTGAGTTCAAATCCAGCCTCAGATACTTGACACTTACTAGCTACGTGACCCCAGGCAAGTCACTTAACCTCGACTGCCTCACCAAAAAGCAAAAAAAAAAAAAAAAAAAAAAAAAAGATAAGTAATATCTACCTAAAACCATCAGCAAGCACTCTATGTAATGGGGATAGGCTAAAAGCTTTCCCAGTAACATCAGGAATGAAACAAGGATGCCTATTATCACCACTATTATTCAATACTGTACTACAAATGTTAGCTTTACCAATAAAAGAAGAAAAAGAATTGAAGGAATAGAATAGGCAATGAAGAAATAAAACTGTCACTCTTTGCAGATGATATGATGGTATACTTGAGAATCAACTAAAAAAACTACTTGAAATAATTAACAAATTTAGTAAAGTTGCAGGATATAAAATAAATCCACGTAAATCATCAGCATTTCTATACATTACCATCAAAGTCCAGCAGCAAGGGATAGAAAGAGAAATTCCATTTAAAATAACTGTAGACAACATAAACTGGAGAGTCTACCTGCCAAGACAAACTCAGGAGCTATATGAACACAATCACAAAACACTTTCACGCAAATAAAGTCCGATCTAAACAACCGGAAAAATATCAATTGCTCTTGGGCGGGCCGAGCTAATATAATAAAAATTACAATTCTACCTAAGTTAATTTATGTAAGTACCATACCAATCAAACTACCAAAAATAATTGGACAGAGCTAGAAAAAATAATCACAAAACTCATCTAGAAGAACAAAAGGTAGAGAATATCAAGGGAATTGGTGAAAAAAAAAATGCAAAAGAAGATACCAGATCTAAAACTATACTATAAAGCGGCAATCATCAAAACTATTTGGTACAGGCTAAGAAACAGAGTGCTGGATCAGTGGAATAGGTTAGGTACACAAGAAATAGTAGTCAATGACTACAGTAATCTATTATTTGATAAACCCAGAGATTCCAGCTTCTGGGATAAGAACTCACTATGTGACAAAAACTGTTGGGAAAACTGGACAATAGTATGGATGCACAGACCAACAACTCACACCGAATACCAAGATAAGGTCAAAATGGGCACATGATTGAGACATAAAGGATGACACCATAAGCAAATTAGGAAGGCAAGGAATAGTTTACCTGTCAGATCTATGGAGAAGGGAAGAATTTATGACCAAACAGAAAGAGAGAGAACATTATGAAATACAAAATGGATAATTTTGATTACATTAAATTAAAAAG